ATGGGATTCTGCGGCGATGCCCGACGAGAAATTTGCACGTATCGGCTAGCTGGATCAAAAGACCTAGGGCCTCTTATGTCTATACTTTTTTTTAATGATAATCTCCTCTGACCGGGTTTCTTTGTTAGCACTAATACACAGGTGAAGCTTAGTCGGACAATAGGGATCAAGGAAGACTCTCTAAGACGACAATACCTATGTACTAGGTAAATGGAATCCCTAACTATGAGGTACATATATGTGTAGGTTAGATAGGTAGATGTGTAACTACCTACCTAGGGTATAGGTCTTATGATGTACATACATCAACTATGCACTTGCAGCTCGGTCAGGGCAAGCCTTGTTAACTTAAACTTACACACGCAAAAGCAGGCCTCAGACTAAAAGCTCAAATTTCCTTCGGAGCTGGCAAGAGTCCCGAATGGACAGCATTCTTAATTACCCACTCTTCTCCCTTCTTTAGCGCTTTGCAACAGCCTCGCGGGACTAAGGGAAAGGGGGGGTGTCTGGTGCTGTCAAGGTAGCTGTGGAGCTACCTGTTGCCGGATCGTCTTATGCTATGATAATATTCCGCGAGTACCTATGAATGATTAGACGATTACGTATAGGCTACCTACTTGTGCAAGGATTATCTCGGGACTATAATTGGGAGAAAAAAAAAGAAGAAAAAAAGACTTAATCGAATAGGGAATGGCGGTCGGCGGTGAGACATTTCGGCACGGTTGACGACAGCCGGGACTTGACCCGGCTCCACAGCCCGCCTATGTAAAGCCTAGATGTATAGTGCTTGTCGTATTATCGCAAGACGCAGAAAACCGCCAAGAAGGACAGACTAGAGAAAAGAAAGGAAATTACTGACGAATGGCATCGGTGCCTCTTGCTACCGGCATAAAAATGCGTAAGAAAAGTGTGTGAGATAACCATGAACCCTAGATCGCTGGACCGATGAATGCACCGGGGAAAAGCATGAATGCTAACCGGTTGACATGAAATCGGATGATGAGCCTCCAATCTGGCGCGATACGGCTTTCCGCCGGTGGGGGAACCGATTGGAGCCCACTCAAGGGGATAAGGCGGAGGATAACGGGGTGATTTATTGGAGGTTGCTCCTGTAATGTGATAGCAACTTCAAGTTGCAGAGCCTTGTCTTGGTTCCCTTCGTCTGGCACCCTGACACACTCGTTGATACCTAGCGCTATTATAGGCAATGTAAGCGATTAATGCCACTTTTAAAGAAACCCTATCTTATAGCGAATTGCCGAAGCTACGATATATTTTTATCAGATGCGAAAGAGCAACTTAGATCGATATTGAAATTTGAAGATGGACATGTTTGACAAATTACCTAAGGTATGGCTTAAGTTTTGAGCATTGACGACATGCACACTGCATGATACATTAGAAAATGTATATATGTAAGTAATGGGCAATCGTAGCCCCGTTGAAGTACTTACATAAGTACCTACATAGGTAAAACCAAATCAGAATATTTTCTTCGAAACTTGACGGCAGATTGATACGGCGTGCAGTTGCAGATCAACCAACTGCCACGTGGGGAAGTACCGATACTCTCTATACATATACTATAAACTGCGTACACCTAAATGAGGTAAGTGCATTACATATTACATGCACTTTAAGTTTTCGATATATTGGATTGATTACCTAATGTAACATACCTCCATACCTACCTAGGACCTAAGGGGGTAATCAGGTGTAACTTCCTCCACCTTTCTATACCTACCGACTTCGGTATCTGCCTCGCCGACAGGGTCATCAAAGCCTCAACCCCAAGACATTAATATGTGGTAATCTCATCTCTATTTATATCCATCTAGGCACCTAATTAATATTACTGTATTCCTACATAAGTATATTGATAGCATCATCAATGATATCTCGTATACTTCTACCTATTACCTTGTTTCTGTCTTCCTTTCTTGACTTCGCGAGGCACCTATCATACGAACAATAATGATGAGCTCGGCCAGCCATTGGCCGTCTGGATCGACGTGGGAATTGACTTGAGGCGTCTTCCTGCATCAATATCCTCGCTATATTAATCGAAATAAGGTCACCTGCATACAACCGAGCCGACGTGCCAAGTTGGTTACTAGTTCACGCAACTATCAACTGTATTCCCAACCTTAAGGCCTTACAAAACAGATCCAGATCCACGATGTTTCATTAGTACGGACCGCACGCCAGCGGCTGCTATGGGATGGCTCACCACCAATCGTCGTTAAAAAGGGTTCGGAAGAACTCCGTTTACCAAGGATAGGAGATGGCGGACACTCCATCTTTGGGCCGCCACTGCGCCTCGATGCAGCTCACGTCAAAGTATCGGCCACAGACTTGCAACGAGCTGCATTCGCCCAACCTGTTTGGGCTATGGCTGCATGTGTTCCTCTCGGCAACGTTAACTAAGCATACCAGATCTTCGTTGAATCCACTATACCTGGTCTGCCGGCCGCTTATTATGGAATATCTATACTTGGTCATGGTGTATATGCGCCATGCTGCCCTACGCATGCTAACCCGCATATGACGCTTCCCTTGACTGTCCTTCTCAATATCCGGCTTATGTTGTGAACTCCGGGCACTCCCGCTCTTAGCTCCCGTTGTCTCTTAGTTAAGAGATTCCTTTTGCGGACCAGCTTGCCCCATTGCAATACGCTCACTGGTGCAAATTCTACAATACAATCTTCAATTCGAAAAATTATCGTGTCTGAATATGAGTTTGTAAACGTCCACTTTCATTACAACTCTCACATTGCGTCACCAGGGTCCTGCAGTTAACCCCGGCCTAATCATCTCCAAATCCGGCAATGCCGTTGTAGGGCCAAGAATGATCGTTATCGTAAGACCGGGTTTATGGGAGCTATTGTTCATGAGTGATCCTGCAACGGAGTTATCGGAGAGTAGTCCAATGTCGACGATATCTATTTGGGTTTCTTACTCATGATACAATTTCTTTTTTCCTACGGAACCCTTGTTTTGTCCTAATGAGGCACGGCGACCCGAATTATTACCATCTAGTCAGCTTACCGCATATCTCAACGTCCCAACGTCAACAACGGTTCCCGGCTTTGGTAGGATGGTCACATGCCGCTCCTACCATGGTACTTGACAGGCATCGGATCGCAACCTCCCACAGCATCGATTGGCACTGTCCAGTAGCCGCAATTTCAGCTTCAGCATACCAACTTTGATATCTATGGCCGACGATGTACTACTCACTTTGTAGACCGTCTAAGGCAACTTAGGGACTATATCTATATCAACCATCATTTTCTTTCAACTGCAGGTCGATACATATCCAGCTAGTTGTGCTACACGGATAAATGATGATGGACAATATTCATATCTTCGCATCACCGCATCCCTGCAAGGGTTATCTATCTACACGCAGATCGTCTACTTATCTCGACCCCATCGCGTCCATTAGGACGGACATTGCGTCGACGAATATCTGTCTTTATGCCACGACCCGAGGTCAAACTACTGGGCAACAACTTCCCGGGCCGGAGTTCGAATCCGATCTACGCACCTCCCGCCATGCAGATGCAGTGTACGATATGCGAGGTCCATCCTAGCGACCAACCTCTGTTCAAACCAAAAGGTACATAATGTTACACAATAATTATGAATAATAGGCAACCGTAGTCTACGAGCGTCGCATATAGTATATATGTGTAGCGAGCTATGTTTGTTTACCGGCATATGCCAACAAAGTGATCAGGCTTATCCTAGAGGTGCATATCCTCTATCTGCGAGCCAACATTCTATCGAAGTTGTCCCGACTTTTGATATATGTACCCTCGACACTGTGGCTTAGTTCACCCTTCTGCAAATCACGCGCCGTTACTGCGACCTTCTAGTGAGACAGATTACACTGGAGGAAAAATACCAAGGCGCCGGGGCTCCCGGGATTCGCAGATTCGCACCCGCGTTACACGGGCGCGTTAATACCCTGCCTTCATGGTATGAAGAATTCTTTGGCAGCTTGGGTTTGTCCCTGATGCTACAGCTGCATTGTTGATTTGACGGACTCTACACCATGTGCGTCATTGCGAGGGCGATAAAATATTTCTAGACAGGTAGACAAGGGGTATTAATCACGCAGGACAATAATAAACAACCCCGCGTGATGAGTTGTCTAGGTACACTGTGAGAATCTGCAAGGCGAATGACAAGTCGTCAAGCCTTGCCCTAGCACATTGACCGCTTACAACTGGTTTGTTTCCCTAACCACAACAAGTTGCATAGTATTAGAAGTGAGAGAATTCCAAATAAGCCTAAACTTACAATACCTATTTCGATACGATCTAAGCTTGGTTCTGATGTATCTAACTACAATAAGCAGCGATGCTGAACCAGATATATAGAAACTTTGGAATGGGCCGAGGTTGAGTATCGATAATATTGAATACTCGTGGGGGGAGGGCCAAGGCCAAGTAAATACCTAATAAGTGATAAGTGCTCTTTTCCAAATGGCTTTGCCTTACCGACCTTAGGGGTTGAAGAGGCACGGGCCGCTTCTTAAATCTGTAAGGAGTAGGTAGGTAAGCACTTTAACTTAGCCTTAATTACTTGAAGTACAACGGCGATACCATATACGGACAGATGATTTCCTTTCTTACATCCCTTTCCAATACAGGTTAATACCGGGCAAGAGATAGCCATGAACTAGTCTCGACCAAAGCAGTTACTACGCTTCAAGGAGAAGCATCATAGAATATCCCTCTATCGAGAGCCTCGTCCTGACGGTGATATTATCACTTTGGCCTGGTTACACGACGATTCAGGTGTCTAAGACCCCTTGCATGCAGCTGGGTAAGCCACGCGGCCTCATAACAAAATGACTAGGGTTCTACCACGGAGGATTAGGGTAGGTTATCTATTCAGGGGTCCACGAATGTGTCCTGTCATTTATGACAGAAGCATAAGCCGTCCCCAGCACGGCTCCAGCTTTTGACACGAGATTTCTTCCCCGCGCTCATCATAATTAAAGCCTCGCAGCCGTGGGGTCCTAATGAGATCCCCCAAGGAGGCACATGTATTACCCTTCCAGGCGTTGAGGACAAGAGGAATTAGTCAGTCTCGAACATTGTGATCTCAAGCTAAGGACCAATTGGATATCATCGACCAGACAAGATAAGCTTGGTCTGCAATCTTGATTTGCAGGTGGCCTGTCCATTCCATCCAGAGAATCGCCCGACGACTATTAGAGACATACTCTATGACATACTCTATCTTACCTGGCATTCAGAGTGATCTGGCACTTCTGCACCTCCCCAACAAACTGGCTCGTGACTGACATTTGTTGCGACTTGATTTATGCGCAGGATTTGTGGCCTAATGATCCGAGCCTGTTCATCGACGTCCCATTCTTAGATCCCCACATCAACGGCAACCAACGTATATTGACCTATAACAGACCTATAGCATGTCCTAGCCGTCACCCGCAAACATGTACTCCCGCCAGGTTGTAAGTGGTGTTGATCAACTCGGCAATCTACCAGAGGGGTTAATTTGTAAGTTGCTCTGTGTGGGCGAATCTTACTCGCGTGGTAGCTGGGGCAGAACGGCCACAAAATCCTCGTTGTTGTGAAGGCAAGATTTGGCGAGCCGTGCGGCGCCACTGGAAGCCCAACAACTGCATAGTTCATGAGCGGAGGCTATGTCTCCTATAATTGGCGCAGATCTTTCGAAATTTGGGCAGCGATACTCAGTACTTCGACATCATCCTCCACAATACTTGGGCGTATATGGACGAAGCCTTGATGTACAATCTTTTACCGAATTTTACACCTTCTGAAGGGGTGTGATCCTGTGGTATACATTATCGAAAAGCGCCTCCTCAACATCCGCACCGGTTCGTCCAGTAGCTTCCGGTTCAGCAGCCCGCAGGTTTCTCATCAATCCTCAGACCAAGAAAATAGTACTAGGTATCTATTCGCAGATCCACAGAATAACCGTACCTCGATAGCTCAGAAACGTAGACTACCTAGCAACTAATCCATGTTGAAAGCCTCTTGAGATTGGTGCGATTAAGCTAGCTCTCTCTCCCTCTCTCTCGAAAGTGAATGCATCTAAGGAAGGGAAGTGACCGGAACACGGCGACTGGTCTGGCAGTTTCACCCCTCTGTCGACAACTTTACCCAATCCCATATTTGCCAACTCTGCAGCTTTCTGGGCATGATGCCTCTAGGTGACATGTGGACGCCTCGCTATTCTTAGGAAGAAGGGAGAAGGAGGTCATAATGGCATGATGCTGCATTGGCGGTGATCGCGGTATAACTATGAGCGTCTGTCTCATGTATCCCGGGTTGATCTGAATGTGGGTAATGATCGGAGACCACCTTTTACACCAGGTAGTTCAATAGTGCTTCATCACTAGATATATTAGATATATTATTAGAAAGATATATCGTATTGCCTAGGCTATTCGATATGCAAGAAGTTGTCAAGACTTTTTCCTTATGAAATGAAATATTATTAGTAAATAATGTCATTATCTACCTCAACTTAGTTAGCCATACTATGTCGTACTATCTTAATGTTAATATGAGAAATGTTTCGGGGATATCTACCTACATACATACCATCATTGTACTAGATACTTCCATCTCCTATTCATAGGCCATACGCTTTGTAACAGAGACCCCCAAGCCTATGGCCCATGCTACACGTAGCTCACATCATTAGATACGTCATCGAACGATTCATAGGCAGACAACGTTGCGAGCTAATGCTACCGTCGGAGGCGTTCCCGAAATGCCATGACTATCAGACTTTCCTAAGCCACCGTGTCGACTATCTATGGCGCCGTCCATTGAGAGAACCAAGTTACCCAGGTAGATACTCGGAAAATGCCCACATGGGACGGATCTCGCCACACCGCACTTTGAGAGGACTATGCATGTATACAGCCAGCTATTCAACAAGGGATCACCGAAGCTTTAGGTAGTCCACCGCCATATAGCGGACGAAAGGAGGTTCGTATACATATAAGTAGGTTATACTAGCCATTTACAGAATTGCCTAGCTTCTCGACAATAGATGAATTGGGTTCTATTACGAGGTCGATAAGCTTATTGCGTATATAGACTATAAATAACCCGTACCAATAAAAAAGATTGGACTGCTAGATCTCTTTTATATGAAACCAATATTTGATATAAGACTGTAGTCGCGGGAGTGCCCACCTTTATTTCTCTTCCCCTAGTCAACTTCTGCTATAGCGTATCTACATTACTTAGGTAGTATTCAAATCTCCACTCCCTGTCTCCCTCCCTTCTCCACATGCATACGCACGCACGAACTACTCGGGCTCCGTACAAGCTGGAGAAACCTAGAATACACATTGACTCGAGTCTTGGCGTCTCGAGGACCTTTGTGCTGATCGTATGTTCCTAGCGGCGCGCGACTTGGCCCCCTTGGCCTTTTAGTCGCTGCATGCCTCGTTAGCTAGCTTCAACTCGTATATCCATGGAAGTCATAGCCAACTAAGCATGCTGGTCTCGCTCAACGAGGCGGTGGCCTGATACGGCTTATTAAGGCTCTAGCCTCAAGTGAGGCGGAGGAGGCTTACTCTGCATAGTATGAGGCTCGCACTTTGGTAGATCTGGGCTGGACTAGAGTTTAGCCCTCATAGCAGGGGTAGGCACATCGTTCCGACCCGCGATGGTTGCTAGTACTATGTAACCCTCAGTAACCCTGTTAGGCTTCGGTAGCCTGCTACTTATCTGTCTATGTGTCGTTTTAGTTGTGACGTTCTTATACTCTTTCGAATAGGTTTAGGGTTAGTTGCTAACTCTATAAGTTGGCTTTACTTAACTTACATTTCCATCTCTCTCATGAGGTAGTTAAAGAAAAAAAAAGTTGACGTTAATTAGAACCATGTCAACTACCATTTTAATAAGATAACTCTAATAAGAATATGTTGCTTATGTACTGAAAATAGCGATTACTATAACCTAGGCCTTACATTTAACTAATCATAAATGTTAGTTACATCGTCTTTTCGCTCTAGTTAACCACTTAAATTTTGTGTTTCTCTAAACCCAGGCTATTAGACAGTGTTTGCGAAAGAAATCGCCTCTATAATATCTTAATAGCACAATACCTCTAGCTAACCTAGTCAGTTCTAGTAAACCTATATCAATCATAATATAGGTTGGTGGGGTTAAACGGATACTCAAAAACGACTCGATAAATAGATAAAAGGTCTCGTGCAAGACGATTAGATATACTTTCATGATCTTTCAATCTTACATGTGTAGTACGCTCTATCCTGTTGGCTTATATTTCGAGTGCGTGTCTTCGGTGCGTCATAAGGGTAGTAGAATAATACGGCACAACATAAGGCGAGATACAAATTAATCGCCCATCCTCTTAAAAAGCAACTCCTTGAGTCCTCGCAAAAGACTTGGTCAATACATACAAGCTTAGTAAGGCAAACGGTAACTTAAAGCATGTCTCATTTTCTATATTGTGTCTCATATTTCCGTGGGGAGGGGCTGCCGGCTTGTACCGAGATCCGGGAAAATGGTAATATAGCACGTACAGGACCATCCTATCGGGGAATTAGTAGAGCTCATTCTCCACCGTACGTAGGTATTTATATGATACGGGCACTTACTTCGGCTGCCGGTTCTCCTATAGATAACGTACGAACTGATAGTGTTACGTGAGATATATGACGAGTTCCTTCGAACATTTCCTTCCTAAACCCTCGAACCCTTGGAGCCTTGATACGACCTCCCGTACCACTATAGACGCTACGTCACCTTCACCGCCATAACGGTGTCGATGTTCATGATACATAGTATATACTTGAGCTCTACTTAAGGCTGACGGCCGGGTGGGAGGACTTCTTTGGGTAGACTGTCAGCAACCATATGATATTGAACCCTGAACGGGGTCATCATCTGCTTCTTCTGGAAGCGAGCTTTAGGTGATACGTGCAGCCTGGCTACGCTAATGCCGCTTTGCTTCCCCGCAGCGGGTAGGGCAAGCCTATTGTAGTCTACTCGCGGGGTATGTGCAGTCAGTTGAAGCTCGGAAACAGGATATAAGCTGACCAGACTTCATTTCCTCGGGAATGGTGAGGTTAGCAACAAACCCCGAGTATAGCTGATGGCGACAAGGCTGTATACAATTGTTTGCGAGCTGCGTCTCGCGTACCATGGCGCTCGTAAGCCACATACGGCATAAGATTCCGGGCGACTTGGTGTCACATAGTCTTGCTTCTGCAATAGGACTTAGAGCATCTGGGCTGACGGAATCCAGAATGCCATCTGAGTAATCGAGCAATAATCCTCGGGCGTATGGAGCACTTGTAAGTTACCTATACTTCTGACCAGAGACAGGCACGACAAGGGCTGCTACGGCATGGCATCGTTACCAGCACCATGCCGGACGGTATGAAAAATCCTACATCGATTTCTATAGAACCGGGTTCGTCGCTCTGCCATGTCCCAATAGAGCATGGGTTTGACCTCGTATTGTAAAATCCCGAGCCACATGATCGTCAAGACGAAAGGGGCGGGAATAAGAAAAGGTGTTAGCTACCATTACTAGGTATGCATGTGTTCTTTTCTTTTCTTTTTCGGACCACTAGAGAATGGAAGCGGGATCGGGCCGCGGGCCTTTGCTACGTTTCGAACGTTCGAATACCACCTCCTACTCACGGGAACTTAGTAAGATGCAACCGACAGTCTGGATCCAGCTCGCTAAAAGCTGACGAGGGGTGAGGGGTCCCGAGCTCGTCGTCAGATCTGCATGGGGAGGATGAGCGCTAACGCACGACCTCCGATGCAGGCGATAGAAACCAATTACTGGATCGGCCCGGGGCAGTTCGCTCCCAGCAACCAATACGATCTTCATGTCTTGCATTCCGTCGTCCCACTTTGCATACCTATCCGGTTGCGAGAGTCGGGGTTAGGTGGATGCTTGAATGATAGCTCTATATGCAGTAGGTATTGCGTAAGCTGACCATCAGGCGGGTAACATACATATTTACATTACAGGTTGTTGGGTGGTTTATCCCAGCCTTAGGACAAGCCCTTTATATCTCTATCTGATACTCTGTGCATATGCACGTTCGCCCACATTCCTACTCGAGGTATGCGTGTGTGTGTCCTCGGGACTCTGTACTCGAGCGTGTTGACGTATAGGGCTGGCGCGAGCGTGGGGGATGCCGTATAGCGTATAGGATCCAAGCATCGACATAGGCCTGGTAAGGCAGCAATGCTGCAACTCGGCCAATATTTCCAGGTCTTCGGTGACGGGCGTAGGGTCTCTATTCCCATCAACGTGGTTATATCCATCGCCAGCGCCACAGGGTCATGTTTGCTACCGAGGGAGAGGAGTACAAGACAGGTCACTTCGATAACCCGAGGCTGTCACCGGACACAGCATACGGCGGGCCGAACTCCCAACCAATATATCTCTGATATATATCTCTTGGGGAATAGTAAGCGAAACGCTGCGTAACTCAGCTTTTGCTTCGTATGCAACTTAACTTCAATGCGGCTATGACCAACAACAACTACACCGCCGCTGATCGTAAAGTGACGACAACAATGCCAGCGCAAGCGGCAAGGTCGGGCGCATTGTCATTCCTATGCCACCACCCGAGCATCATTTTCGTGAGTCATTATTGCCTTGGGTACACAGATCTTGTACCGAGGTGTTACAGAGAGACTCTCCCTTCGCTAATAGCGCATGTGATGTTGTGATGTTGTCAGTGTAGTGACGCGGTATCTAAAGGGGCTTTTATAAACTGACGGCAATAGTGATGATAACGATGATGGTAACTTGAGATATAATAACAAGTTTAGAAAGACGCTAGAAAATTCTTATAGTTAAGTAAGTAATTCAAATCTGGTGTAGGTGGTCAGGGCGCATGGTGGCTCGTCGGGTAGCTTAAGAAGACATCAATATACTTTTATTTACATGATCTCGAAAGCAATTGACTATCTATATTGTGTGAAAATTCTTTCTGATATTTTAGATCGTTTTATGTTCGTAGTATATCACCTCCAACCAAATCTTAGGTGCCCTTAGTCTGCCTAACTATTACTTAGATGTTCGCCTTGGCTTCGGCAATGATGCGAACATACAATAGAAATTATAAACCTATCTGAAACGAGACCACTGATAAAATAGCGATTTCTCTATTTAGATATCGTAATAGTCTCCCCGTGAACTTTCTAATAGTTTCTGACTTTGCTACTTCTCTTAGATGTGGGTACATCATGACTTTGTGACTACTATCTTAATATGAGGCAGCACTATGAGATAGCTACATATATAACTGTAAAGCCAATATACAGGAGTCGAGCGGGGTATCGAGGTGTATTGTGTGGGTTCTACATATAGATAACTATATAGATAACTACTAGGATCTTCTATGCCAATATAACATTACCTCTTCGGGTCATACTTATAAGGCTCACCTGTTAGCATTCTAGATGAGACATCTAGAGTAAAGAACACTTCTAGTATGTATATCCGTAGGCTCTCATAGTTAACTTAGAGTTCTTCGCGGAACAACGAAGTTGTTTCCTTGCTTCTTGCTCCACCTCATGATATCGCCTGGGGGTTACCCTGGGATATATTAGATAAATAGGTACCCAGTTATATATCTACCGTTTCAGCGCCCTAGTTAGACCCACAGTCCTTTATATAGAAGCAAAGCTTGGTTTTCTATTGTTGGATTGCACTGTAATAACTGTCTAGAAAGACGCCGTACCTATTTAGTACAACTGATCAGAAGTTACCTAACCTACCTAATATGAAGCATTGCACATCTGTATGACTACCTTCGACCATATACATCTGGAGGATATGTCTATAGCATAGAGAGAAGCTAAAAGGTATATCAGCTCCATAGTACTGTTGAGCCTAGTGGAGACCGAGTCCCGACTACCAGCCCTGGCATAAAAGCATCCATCTTGACTCCCAGCTGAACCAACATCGTAAAGAGGTATAAAAGATGTTCATTCCTGTTAGAACTCTGGAAGGGAAACCGAAAGTAAATGATATTCTTCGTACGTGTAGTTAGTGGCTTCTGAACTCCAGGTTGAATTCCTTGCGGAACGACGGAGTTATCAAATGCCTTCTAAGTCCACCTCATGATAATTCCGAATAATCAAGTACTTCCCATGGCAACTTTTCCCTCTGCTCTTAACAAGTACCTATTTCATTAACCCAAGCTCTCCTAATGATCCGGGATGGAAAATATTCTATAAAAAAATGAAAAATAAAACGTACAACACCGGGGATTCACTGGTCGTCACCGACCCAGTTACTAATCCGGCGGTAACCAGTTTATCGACGGGGAGAGCGGACGGGATCCCGAGTTTTCTAGATCCTATGGTCGTACGTGAAGGAAAGGGGTTGTTGTTGTAGTATATATATCGTATCTTAGCTGGAATATTCCCTAAATCCATCTGGCTTATACTACTTATAAAATACAACTTCTTGAATATAATACCACGAGAAGAACTGGGTTGAAGGTGTTATCTGGAATTCTAGGCGAAAATATTGGTAAAGGTACTATCACCATGCCTCTTATAACTACTTGATAGATAGAGTCTAATACGAGCGATTCAATCCGAGTTTAGATAGATAACTACCTAGATAGGTAGTATTTCCAAAAAGAACATATAGGTCACGTCCGTAAAGATCATTATCTATGTCCTATAGCTAAGGCCTAGAAAGTTTTGGCTAGTTTCGTCCCGCATGTAGACGTGTAGTTTCGATGGTAATATCGTCCGCATGTTGAGTTCCTTGATACCTGACATTGTTGATAAGTTTATAGTTTAAATAAACCGATATATGAAAGATCGGGACCCAAGATATCAAGGACCCAACGCTGGAGAAGATTTGAGACAACTCCACGGGAAGATAAGTATCATCATGTCGAAATAGTATTTGGAGCCACATGATCATCAAGCACGACGCACTCAGAACCTTATAAAGGACCATTAGCATAGCCAGAGGTATTATTCTTGGGATGCAAAATTTCCACATAGGACTAGATCTTCTCCAAGGGGCATATATGTTATGTTTGAAAGCCGAGCTACAGGTCTCGGGCTACCGCCAGGATTGACACTTCGAGGTGGAGAAACGAAAACACTCCCCTGACCGAGCCAAGTGGGCGCGATAGTTATTATAACCGAGTCAATTAGCTGTGAATTTTCCCGAGAAAGAAGTGAGTTGATCACCTCGCCGCCGCCTTCGATCATGATACTCTGTAGCCCCTCGTTTCGTACGGCTGCTAAGATGGCACGCCAATCGAAACGACGATTGTCCGGACCCACACCAGATACGGTATTTTGAGGTTGGGTTAGGACGATGAACTTCCCGCCATGGCCTTGTAATAATTTCTTCTTATCTTCAGGTGGGTTAGGTATAGCTGTTATGATGTATGGAGCCAAGCCTTTGCCTGCCCGAGCTAACTTCATCACTTTGCTCTCGGAAGTGAAATCCCAACGTAATCTTGGGTCGATAACTATGGGTCGAGGGTGACGCGCAGTCATGGCGCTGTTAGTTTCATCGATCACAGATTGCTTGGTTGAGATGGAGGCAAGCCCTAAGAGAGCGCCGACGCCAGCTGTATCGGCGGTCGGCGAAGTCTCCAAGGGCGCAGCATCAGCCGCGAGACGACAGTTCAGCCCTGGGTCATCGGCTATAGCTGTTCCGACCCCAACGCAGATAGCATCGTGGCGACTGCGAAGATGATGGGTCATAGCTTTTGATTTTGGACCTGAAAGAGCCGTCCTAATACCTGGCCCGAGGGATAGCGCTGAATCAAGCGAAGTGGCAAATGTTAGTGTGACGAAGGGTAGCTTAGACGACGAAGATACGTCCTCTGGAGAGGATGTTGGCTGCAAGGGTGGTAGATGAGGCTCTAGTCGCATCGCCACGATGGACGGTAATAGTAAAGAAAGTTCACTCATTGGAAGGTTTTCTCGTGGTAGTGATCAACTCGTCTGGTCGGAAAGTAGCTGTATTAATGAAATTTCTTGATATAGGTATGATCATTGTAAACTACCTACCTAACATAGGTAATGGGTGAGTTACGGCTTGTTAAGGAAGAAGAATGATATGAAGTTTGCCGATAACTTGGTCGCATTTGGGTTATAATAATTATTCGGATAGTACGAATACTATTGAATCCTATTGATTCATAGAAGCGAACTTTTGCCTTTTAGTAAATAAATATACTTTCTCTTATGCACAAAGAGGGACATTATCTTCTTAACCGACAATTGATTGAAATTACCTACCTACTTGGACGTGCTTATGCATCTATCACTCACTATGATTTCTTTGGAATAAGACCTTTAAGAAAGTTGTTGAGCCTTCGAGTCTACCTAGGTACCTAGATAGTATCTGCTTAAGTAATTTATGGGGCTGCATGTATAGTACCTAAGCGCTGTGACGCAGTTTGTTTGAGCTACAATTCTTAAAACATCCCACGACGGAGGCATCCGAGTCTGTTCACCTCCTCTACTTCTTCCTGCTGTAGTAATTATTTCTTTTTATTTCTTTTTAATCCGAACCTCTTCTACTAAATAATAGTTATCTGCCAAGATCGTGCCTTTCTTCCGCTAAGTCGCTAAGCCGTAAAGCCGTAATACTGGATCAGCCATTCACTTTGCTCCATCCACGCGTCCCCCTGACGCTCCGCCACATCTCCAAGCCAACCCTTTGATCGCCCAAGGCTCGGCGCCAACAAATATAATAGCCGATTTTCCGAGCGCCGTCCATTATTTGTACCAGGCAAAAAAGAACCCTCGACCCCAAAATCTTCTACCTTTCATACACGCTTCCGTCCTTGGTGTTCGTCCTATCAAGTCGACTTACTCACCAGAACGATCGACCATCTTTACAATTCGCACTCAGACGAACCCTGTCCATCGGATCGAAGTGCAAATAGATCTATAGATCTATACGATCCGATCCGAGCCCTACGAGCTACACCTTAAGAGTCCCACCTCCCTACCCTCGACATCATATTCTATCGTCGCCATGGCCGACAAAGCCGATCACCCCCCGGCCTACGCGCCTCCTCCACAAGCGCCTCAAGCTTCATACCAGCAAGGGCCCTACGGCGCTCCCCAGCAGCCCTACTACCAGCAGCAACCGGGCATGAACTACGGCCAGCCGCCGCCCCAGGGTGGCTATCCGGCCGGCCCGTACCCCCCACAGCAGCAAGGATACTACCAACAGCCAGGCTACGCGCCTCAGGGCCAATACCAGAACCAGCAACAGCAGGGCGACTCACGCGACGGCTGCCTGGGCATGCTGCTCGGTGCGCTTGCCTGCTGTTGCTGTCTGGATTGTCTGTTTTAAGGGAAAGGAGTCGAGTGAAGTGAAGTGAAGTGGAGACATTTCCCAGTTTGATGTTTTTGTCTTGGCACAAGCCGAGATGTTATCAAGGGGAAAGAGGCCGGGAGATGATACGATACGCATCAGAAGGAAGCATGGCGTTTTTGGTCCTACGGAATTGGTTCTTTTGTAATTATACGGTGATATACTATTTCCGAGCAGTCTACGACGGGAATCGCGTCAAGTCAATTCCATTGTATTCGCTACTGCTACATTTATCTATCATGTTCGTGTCTCTATACAATGCGGTAAAACTAGACTCTAACTTCTATGCGGTTACACCGTTTGCATGCCCGTTCGTGCAACTATTCGCCTGGCCATCTGCATGACTACTAGCCTCACCCGTAAGCGTAGCGTACAGCTCGTCGAACCTCTCGTCGGCGTCCTTTACGCAGTCGTATGAGTAGATCATGCGCTGAACCTCGGGACTGGCCCACTTATCCGGAATAGGTGTTCCTTTCTTCATGCCCATCGCGAACTGTCTATCCCTCTCCTCCTTCGCTTTACCCTCGCCTAGGTGTAGCGACCGTGCAGATGACGCGGCTAGGTCGACCAGTATCGTCGTTCGGTCCTTCCTCAGTAGCTCGTAGACTTTGAGAGCCTTGGAAAGAGCATCCCTATCTGAACCGCCTCCTGGTGCGCGGCTCACCACCTCTGCCAACACGGCGCCGTCCTCGATGGCCATGGCAGCGCCCTGGCTAAGGTGGGGTAGCGTGGGGTGGCAAGCGTCACCGACCAGAGCAACAGAACCAAGGATCCAGGTATCAAGGGCGCTGTGCGAACGCAACCTCCACTCGCACACCTCACCTTCGGGCACCATGTTTAACATCTTTTGCACGACGGGGTGGAAATCCGCGTATACATTTAGCATGGCAGACTTGCTACCGCGTGTCGTGTACGTGACACTTGGGGCTTCGGCAAAGTTGACATCCGGTTGGCACGTTGATAAGTTGTAGATGGTCTTGTTGCTAATAGGGTATGCTACGATGTGCCGCTTCTCGCCTATCCATCGCAGCGCGACATCGGCATCTAGGAGCTCAAGGAGCTCCGGGTCATGTTCCATCTGGGACCGCGTGAGCATGATCCGGTATGCGGCCTGTCCCGTGTCTTCGACGTCGCCACTAAGATTTAGAGTGCGGAGCAGAGCGGACCGCACGGTGGATTTGATGCCGTCGGCGCCGAGTAGGATATCGGTCTCCACCTCGTACGGGTCGCCGTTACGTGGCTGCACCTTGAACACCGTCTTGCCCGGACCGAAAGATGTTACGTCGGCGAGCGACGTCGAAAAATGGAACTTGATGCTTGGCTCTTTTTTGCATCCCTCATATAAGCCACCAGCTAGCGACGCGCGATGTCCTGTGCAGTGAGGGTATCCGTACTTCTCGGCAATGTCTGGCATTTCGACGTGTACAAGTTCACGGTTCGAAGAGCCCTCGCGGATGCTTGAGGATTTGATGTTAGTAGCCTCGGCAAATATCTCGTCCCAGCAGCCCCAACGGTCTAACACCCGGGCCATGTTTGGGGCCAACTGGATCCCGGCTCCGACGAATCCCAAGTTCGAAGCCGTCTCATACACGTCGACGTGCTTGAACCCCTTCTTAGCAAAGGCAAGGGCGCAGGCGAGACCGCCCATACCTAAGATGAAGTGACATCAGTCGCTATGCTTCTTACTTTTTCTTCTTAATCGCATGTCTAGATTATATAACTCACCCGCGCCGATGACGGATATCCGCAAATCCCTATAATCGGACATATTGACTAGCCAGACTAAGAATAAGGATATGTAAAATGGGGTGTTATGGTGTGTTATGGTGTGTTATAGTGTAACGAAGTCTGTCGTTTACTGAAGCAGAGAATACCTAGGTATTTGAAATACGACAGCAGGTGAGGACACCATAGGCGTAACCTCTCCCTAATGAAGAGCGGCTCCTAGGTAGGGCCGCCATTAATAGCGAGCCGGACATTCTGCCGTGTTTCTTTAGATAGTTATCCCGAGGGTCGCGAAGGAATCAGGCAAGTCTAGAAGTGGAATCCATAACCCTTAAACAGGGGTGGGGGCGTTCCTCTTGATTGCCGGCTAATGAGGGGTTGTCCTATGGCGACAAGTGTATGTCGGCATTAGGCTGGTGGGTAGGAGAATCATTTCGCCTTTTGTTGATCATATATATTTAATGAGGGTAGTCGCCGATCCTTTTTTCCCTCTGCATGTCATGCTTTAGTTGAGACATCGTCTGTGATCTTGCATGAAACTTGTAAGGTATACGCTATAACTACGCGCATTTGATATCTACTATGTATGTATAGTAGTGGGATTGCCGTGAGATTGCTCGTCAGATATTGGAGGACCCAGATACTCGGGACTTGGATCTAAGAAGGACGCCGCTCCAATCTTAAATCTTATTTCCACGTGATAATTATGGCATAGCAATGGCGATGGCGATTACCTATGGCAACATTGCGAAGTACATGCCTAATTTCGGCAAGTGGGGTATGAATTGAACCAAGCAGACAGACGGAATGAAGCAGCTCAGACACCGAGTATCCGTACCTGAGGTATACATACATGTATCTTAGATTAGAAGTAGATGGCTATCGATAAGAGCTTATAATGCCTACCTAGGTACCTACCTAACCTATGTAGGTACTAACGATATCCCTACGCTTAGCTGAGCACAGCCATTTGGCGACGCATAAAGGACTAGAGACCCAAGATGTCTCAACGTCTCAGTTGCTTCTTCCATCTTCAACATTGAATCTGCTCTGCGAGGTGATAAGATGCCCTCCTCTAAATTTAATGCGCTACCAGCGCTGAGAAAACAGCATCTCTTGGTCGGGTTGTACGCGACGCGTTCTTATATACACCTCTACACTTCTATTATAACACCTCTACTATAACTCCTCTACTATAACAACTCTGCTATAACAACTCTGCTATCCGCTGAATCCAAAGCTGACTATTAACTATAGCGCTGGACTTAAACAGACGTACCCCGAAGGCGTTTTTGTAAGCCTTACTCCTGGCGACCCTAATCTTTGGTCCGGAGTGCTTTTCGTTCGGGATGGTGAGCATTTCGGATACTCGCATAATCGTCGCAGCGCTCAGGGGTTTCTAATCGATGGGTAAAAGGTCCTTATGCTCCCGCCGTGCTACGATTCCAGATCTCCTTTCCCGACTTATATCCTAGACTACCACCACTAGTTACCTTCTCGACCGATATGTTTCACCCCTTAATTACACCTCTGAGCACGTACATGTATTCGACCGACGTTCACGATAACGGTACCGTAAGCGCAACCGATGCGGAGCGATTACCGCCCGGAGGTTTTAGCTTGAGGCATGGATTCCCCGGCTGGTTTAGGCGCTCAAGCCGGGGCCAAAATACTGGTAGTGGTAGTGGTCGGCAGTCTAGCGGACAGCAGGATGAACAGCATACGCCACATCGACCACCTCCTCCGTCGATGAGTAGTGCAGGCACGCCCGGGTCTAAGGGGTCTGCTGTTGGTACATCACCTGGGTTTGCCGAGACGAATAGAAAGGAAATTTCTGCGTATGAGGTCCTTCGATATATACGTAGCACCTTCAGCGACGAAGACGTGTTGGACTCTATCCCTCTCGAGGCTGCCGGAAATCCCGGTGCCTGGCATGCTTGGCGGACATATCGCATTGACAATGGGAAGGAATTCTCCGACACCTCTAACCCGACAGTTGCCAAGCCTGTATCTAAAGAGACCCCCGATTCTCCAAGGAGGCCAGGGGAATGGAATTGGGAAGGTGTATGGGAAGAAAGGGTCAAGAAAGCTGTGACTGCAAGTCTGTCCGAACCTGTCTTATTTGGTGGAGTGGGTGCTGCTGACGATGTTGTAAGTTTGACCCCTATTCACTTTGTTTGCACCTTGAGTACCCAAGGAGGTAAGCATGCACAGCTACTAATACCCGGCCACTCAGATTCGCTTTCTGAATGTGGAGGACAGTGACGTGGATGCTATAAAAGATGATCTTCTACGAACCTTGAATCACGACTCCTGATTCGGACTTGCCTATATATATTTAGTGGAAGGCGCATTTATATTGTGCTCTGGCGAGGATGGCTTTTCTATTTAGTTTCTAGTTCTTGATACCCAGCACGATATACATTCCATTTCTATTTTTCACTTCCCACCACCAATCCTCCAGCATATGAGGTATCTGGTATTATTTTCGTAATCCTACTACTATTCAGTTGCTTTTACAACCTAATTTCGAATTCAATATCCATCCTGCGACTTGAGAACGACTGAAGCATTGGCTATGTCCGAACAACTTCATCCCGGTATAATCTGTGCCATTGTTCTAATCCCGGCCGTTCTGATTGTGATTGTCACCTTAACGATTTTAAAGGGGTTTAATCTCATATCACATCTCTGCAACTGCCGATCAAAGTCACGAAGCGAACAGCTGGCGCCAACGCACCCTACCAGCCTTATAGACAATACGGGAGGAAGTTTTACGACTATTGAGAGTAGTTTCATTGGCCAGGTTAGAAACGAGTCGCTTGGGTCTATTGTTCGGCCGTTGCCCGTTCACTATGCAAGATAGCCCGTCGTCAGGCATGGATATCCCATCGCCGCTGCATATAATAAAGAGAGGAAAGTCAATGCAGATCCTCCGCTACACCCCTAGGAAGATCAGCAACGAAAGTGTTGATGATGGTCCTAATCGGCCATTAACCATTGTAAAAAATCGGAAATATCAGAGTAGATCCATTATAAGAAAACCTTCTACTCGTGTTGAGGACCCAGTTCTCGACCGAAGCTTTCGGGAGCAATCGGGGTGCGTTGTCGCGAATACTGGTAATATATTTCGGTCTTTATGCAAATAACCCACTCCGTTAACGACCAGATCACAGCGTCGAATAGTGCTTGGGATCCCATCACTCCGAAACCTAAAAAAGTTTCAGTATCTCGCCGGTCATCAAGCTTATATGCTGGACGACCGACATCTCCTACATTTCTCTCGAGGCTACGGTCATTATCCACTCGCAAGACCCTATCTTCCAAAGCCGCTTACTATCAGCATAATTTGCAGGCTTTTAGCAGCTCCCCAGATGAGTCAATACTCAAGCCTTCTAACGGATGCGCAACGACCAGTTCATGGGATCAGTCGTCGAATTCTGACTATTCAATACCTCCTACACATCCTAATGAATTCGAGACAAACAGATTCGATAGCCGCTCTTTCACAAGTGCCCAAGGACTGGATGGTACTTTCCCTGATCCCTACGTACTCGTCCCGCACGTCTCCATTATATCGGAGTCGAAATTTTTAGAAGATGGACAATCGAATATTTGGGCAGCTATTGAGATATCGGGTCGACTGTTCCATCCCCGGGCCGATGACTCAACATATGACGCCGACCAGGTTCCTTTCACACCCGTTCACCATCACGACATGGGTTTATCAAGATATGGCTACCTATATAACATAAGGATAGATCTTTTACCAGTCTCGGAAGGCAGTATTGTCGATCTTATAGGTGATACTACGATCAGGTATGTTCCTCTGGCACGCCCTAGGGTATCCGCGCTCATTTGAGCCGACAGGACATTAAGCCCCGGCTCTAGCCTCCTCCTATTAGCCTGTGTCCGGCTAGGGAGTTCAAAATCCAGAAAATCAAGAGCATCTGTGGATGATCCTGATAGTCTCATTGCCGACCTTGAAAACCAACTGGGGAGTGCCCAGACCGAATACCTGCAAATCAAGGTTCATTACTGTCATTCGGGATTTCCTGCATTCGGTGACAATATTACTGAAGACGATGCTGAAGGCAATGTTTCGACGTATCAAACTCGATTAGAAACGGCAGTGATAGGGACCATAAAGCAGCATACTTCAACGTCTGCGTGGTCTCCTCGACCGATTTCTATAACCAATCCTTTATTTCCTATTATTGCTTCCCACTGGGGACCAATTCGTGCCAACGAAGCCATGCAAAGAATCATATCGAATCGTCCGAGCTCCCACAGGGCAGTTAGATGGATAGGAATGGAACATCCCGACAGAATTGAAGATATCCTCCAAGTACCAACCCGGACAGGAACAGCTCCTCCCGTCCCCCAACGGCAGGCTAGTCTCAAGCGGTTGTCCCCGGAAAGAATCTCCGACCCGGCCCGGAAAATATGGACAGAACTGCGCCGGACGTCCTCCGGCAACCGCCCAGCCTCTCACGTAAGCAAAGTCAACCGACTCTCCGCCGCTACGACTTTTGTGGAGGCGCCTAACTCCAACGCAACCATACACCCGGGGTCAACGCGGCCCGAGTCTAGGTCCGAAGTTCAGCGGCAGCGGGAGATTATACGGGAGACTGCAGTGCGCAATAGAAGGTCTATAGGTGCCGATAGTCTGAAGAGCTTGGTGCCGTCGGTGATCGATACAGATCCGGGAAGTAGGGACGATAGCACTCTTAGTTCCCCGAGCCCACCAGGTAAACAAGAGGTGCAGTGTGACAAACGTAAACGGGAGGGGCGTTGGAGTTTAGGAGGTTGGTGGTGAATACTTGAATTAGAAAGTGAATGGCATTAGACGTAACTATAGAATAATTCCGTTAATAAGAGTATCGATGAAACTTTTTGGATAGTCTAGTTGGACAAGGCTTCTTGCTCTATAGAATTCGAAGTGACTACCTACTTTCTACTTCGTTTTATCCCTCTCAAGTCTTCATAGTGTATATATATATTCTAATCTTTTCATAACTCGTCACGCCAAGGTATTGAGTCCTGCGCTCCCAGTCTTTCTACCGTCTTCGCAGCCGCGCGATTCGACTTCTTCACCGCGTCGGCTATGCTGAAGCTCCCGGACACCACCTCGAGCGCATACTGTCCCACAAACGTATCCCCTGCCGCAGTAGTATCTACGACTTTGGCCTTCTCAGCAGGTACGAGACCCTTCTGGCCATCGGCGCTTATGTAAAACACGCCGCGCCCACCGAGCGTCACGACGACATTCAGCACGCCGCGCGATAGGAACGTCCGTCCGACGGCCTCGAGCCCCGCCTCGGTGTCGAGGTCGGACTCAGGCACGCCGCCTAGAATCGAGGCTTCGGTCTCGTTGACGACGAGATGCGCGAGCCCCGCGTACGCGTCGGACGGCAACTCCCGCGCCGGCGCCGGGTTCAGCAGGACGGGCACGTGGGCATTGCGAGCGGCGCGCAGCGCGGCGACCACCGTCGGGAGCGGGATCTCAAGCTGCATGATCAGCAGGTGCGGGAGCGGGGCCCCGAGAGAGCTGGGCTGCGAGAACTGCGACGAGAGGAGGCTGTGGTTTGCCTCGGGGCTCAAGACGATGCGGTTCTGGCCCGTCGGCTCGTCGACGATGATGATGGCCAGGCCCGACTTGAGAGCGGGGGAGGCGGCGACGCCGGAGACGTCGACGCCGTGCCGCGAGAGGTTGGAGAGCAGCTGGGTGCCGTATGTATCCTGGCCTACGGCGCCGAGCATGCGGACGCGGGCGGTGGCCGTTGGGTCGTCGGCGGCGGCAGTAGAGTGGGATGAAGACCGGGAGAGCTTGGCGCAGGCGACGGCTTGGTTGGCGCCTTTGCCGCCGGGGGACACGGCAAAGCGGGTTGATGTTAGAGTCTCGCCGGGAAGGGGGTGGTGTGGGACGTAGGAGACTAGGTCCATGTTGAGAGAGCCCAGGACCGTGATAAATGGGAGTTGTCCCTTGTTGCTTGTGCCGGTTGCCATTTTGAGGGTAGGGTTTCTGTTTAGATCTAGTTAAGGATAGTAGATAAATAACTAGGTCTATTTCTGTATATAGTTATACCTAGGTTAGGTACCTATGTTTGATATACCCTACCCGAGATATTGCAGCTGTTCTTCGACAGTGTTATGTAGGTAATTATTCAAAACATGTACATTGTATTTCATAAATCGTACCAGCGGCTCAGCGGCGTCAACGTCAGAATAGCGGAGCTACACGTAGTTAAGCCCCACAGCGACTAGTCAGGGGAGCCTATGCCAGGTACCTACATGTAGGTATGTATAATATTCTTATAAGTCTTCTTGTGAATATACCAATACAAAGAAATTACTGCCATATAGGTAATTGAGGTGCTCAGCTGAAGTAGGGATAATATTGATTCTCGTCTCCGATATTGAAATTCAATGGGAAACTATAAGTAACTTATAGGTTCAAGATATCTCAAGGAACGTAGTATATCGGTACTTAGATACCAAGTACTTATAGTCTATATCAACCAATCGTATACCCTTGCTCTCCCACATGCGGTCAAAGTCGAATATCATTAACCCCACTATTAACACCATTAACACCATCGCTAACCATTGCTACCCCACCTAAATATTTTAGATCTTACACCTAAATTAGAGCTTCTAAGCTTCGTGATATTCTTCTTTGCTCAACTAAAACTTAATATTGTAGAGACTCTAAGGCCAGCATCATGACAGACCTCAATCTGCAAGAGATCCACGACACACTAATATCGGTGGCCCACGAGGCCGGCCGTATGATCTTATCTGCGAATCCCCAAGATATAGATACGGGAACTAAGTTGAATTGTATGGTATATTTTCATCATTACCCCTCCATCGTCATTTACTAACGATGCAGTATAGCCGCCGACATAGTCACCGAAACCGACAAAGCCGTCGAGGCCCTCGTCTCGTCGCGACTCTCCAAGGCCTATCCCACCTTCGCCTTCATCGGCGAGGAGACGTATAAGCCAGGAATGCAAGTCACCACAGCCCCGACTTTCATCGTAGACCCTATCGATGGCACCCTCAACTTCGTACACAATTTCCCAGAGGCCTGCATCTCGCTAGGCTTCGCAGTCGACCGAATTCCTACCGTCGGGATCGTGTATAACCCCTACCAAGATAAGCTATACTCCGCAGTTCGCGGGCAGGGTGCCTATTTAACGCAGGGCGCCGTCTGGGGACTCGAGGGTGGCAAAGGGCGCAAAGCCAAGTTGCCGCTGTCCAAGAACCCCCCGCCTCTAAAGGAGTTGTATACGTGCATGTTAGCAAGCGAATGGGGCAATAGCCGAGATGGCGTCAATTTCGAGGTCAAGACGGAAGTCTTCAAGAAGCTATGCGCAAGCAAGGAGACTGGAGGTGCCATGGTGCAATCTATAAGAAGCATGGGTAGCGCTGCACTGAACCTATGCGCCGTAGCTGCGGGCCAGCTTGACGCGTACTGGGAAGGCGGCTGCTGGGCGTGGGACGTCTGCGCCGGCTGGGCGATACTTGCCGAAGCCGGAGGTATCATGGTCAGCGGCAACCCTGGGGACTGGGAGCCCAAGATCGATGGGCGCAAATATTTCGCGGTGCGCGGCGCGCCCAGCGGGCAAAAGGAGCTTGTGGAGGAGTTTTGGAACGTGGTCGGCGACAGGAAGATGGAGTACGAGAGTTAAGAGGCATGCGAGATTTAAGGAGACCTATCTAGGGCTACGAATTGACGATAACGATGAATATTATTGGAACGGCATACTATTCCAAGAACGTGGCTCGGCCGGATTAGACAAAGGAGCAGAGGGGAGGGATAGATAATCGACCAACTAATAGACCACACATTAGGGTTATCCATTCCAGGCCCCCCTCCCTTCCCTAGAAACCCGGTTGGAATGTTAAACTCTTTGAAAGATGCTTCCGAAGGGTATAATTTATTTACCATGGTCCGAAATGCTGATCGTTCTTCCCATTAAATGATCAGTACGGTTGATTGTTGAGTAATTGAGAAGACGAGAATGACACCGCAGACAACCAGAGCTCGACATAGCCGCATTTCGACGCAGCCCGGCTCAAATCCGAAGAGATGGAATAAGGAGGAACTTCGGAAATGCGGTGCTATAGGTACTTAAGACTTACTTTCATCCCATCATCCCATCTTGTTCAAAAAGAGCCGGAGTGTAATTAACAAACAAAGTTAGGAACCACGGAGCTACGACGACTCGATTTACGAGGTAAAATCCATCCAGTATTTTCGAATTGGAAAGATACAAATCAAGAGCTACGCAGAGAATTGAAACAGCCGCTCATTCTTGCGAGTCGACTCCTAGAGGCCGGAGGACTGCCCTGGGCCTCTGATTTTCTCACCCACGACGTCTTCGTAAATGGCTACCCCGGTCGGAAACCAAGTTGTCGCTGTAGTTTTACGCATTCTTCCGCTGCTCACGTAGATGACAATGAGGCGGCGCCACAGACTATCGTAAGACACCATCGTGCCGGATGGGCCTCGTCACAGCTTAAAAGCAGATGGACACGCACCGCGGAGAGCAAGCTTAAGGGCGAGATGTCGAATTCCTTAAAGTGGGAACTGGACGAAGATATGTTCCATGAGCGCGGATGGGCCGGGTATACTTGTCGGCATCCACGGAACGGGCGGACGCTGGATGAGCTTGATAAGTATGAGACCATACGACGGTGGGATAAGAAATGCGAGAACCGTCGACGCCGCAACTTGTCAATTTTAGTCACGGCAGAGTTCCCTAAGCGCTTGGCCCAGCTGAGATGCGAGGGGAAGGAACAGAGCGAGGAGTATCTCTTAACGGCGTTCATGACGGCCGTTACGCTCTTACATGAGTAAATTACCTACCTACTCTTTATTTCTTGCATTGAATATGAATTTTCATATTGATAGTCTTCTTGCTTTTCAGACTCGGCCATGCCATTTACTGGAAGGACTGCCGGGCTCTCACACGGGATCTGTGCGAACCTTTTTACGGCGCCGATCTCGAGATGGAGCTGGGAGATAGCTTCGTCGCATCTATCTTTGGCGGTTGGATACCGGTACAGATTAAAAATCCTGCTCATTTAAAAGAGAGCTTGGACTTCTCAGCCGGAATCGCGTGGAAACAGGTGCTTAGTTGGGATTTCCACCGTTTGCGGCCGAAACACCGCGCTCACTACTCAATACCCGTTGACTAGTAAGCCCTCACTCCCATAACGCACTTTTTCTAATAACGAACCAAAAAATACTTAACATTTTTTATAGTGTATCGCGCCTATTCTCCGAGGAAGACTGGCTGGCATCGCGCAAGGATCTTCGAAAGGACTTGATCCGACCTCAGACGCTAGCGTCGGCTCTCAAGGACGTCGGCATATGCCCGAAAGTCGCCGCAGGGGGTAAGCACGCAACGGCTACAATCGTAGACTTCCACTTCACTGGGCAGGGCTGGGTATGGAACCGGCTTACCGGGGCACGGTTCCGCATCCCGCAGTACGACGGCTACCTATGTCCGGACCTCGATCTTCCTATTGCCACCGACGACGTAATCGAGGAACCAAAACCACGGCCACAACTTAAACCATCCCCTATGCCGCCCATGTCTCCACCACTTCCACCCCCAACGGCAATAACGTCTAATAAGAGCGTCTTCCCTAGCTCCCCTACCATCCAGATCAAGCTAGATATGTTCCCGCAGCCCCCGCGGAAGCCTGTTCTCAATATTAGAAAACATCCGGATCTACTAAGCGAATACAGCGACAGACAGATGAAGAAGCCAGCACCTGGACCCGTAAAATCCGCTAAGGAGGAACAGCACCTGTTGAGCCCGGATATGTCCGAGATCTCGCTAGATGACCTGCGGGGCCGACTATCGCAGCTCCTAGGGGTCTCGTTCGACGAGCTGGAGGGGTTCTTTGAAGTTTCGCAGTGTGCATGAGAGCTGTGCTGATGGTTATGATGAAGAGGGAGGGTAGGAATGAATTGGGGTTGTGAATAATGTTACACATCTAGACAAATTAGAAGTAGAATCATATAGTAGAGGCTTTATGGAATATAATTAACGGTAAAGACTTTCCGGGCAAATATGGGTAGCTACCTTCTAGCTCCTAAGCTTAATGGCAACGCCTGGTCTATATAGAACAATGCTCTCGTCGGCAACGTACATAAATGTGCTACGCATATTAACGATAAACTTCAACATATACAGCATACAAGTATAGTTCCTATAACGTCTCATGAGATCTCAACAGGTGGGCCAATAAAATTGATAGCCAAGAACCGTTCAACTTGCACTAGGTACCTAGGTAAGTAACAAAACGTATAGCAGGCACTTGGTATAGAAGCAATTATATTCTCTCTATTATAGACCTACCTACCTAGGTTAGGTATATACGCAAGACATGAGCATCACAATAGCGCACACCTAGAATACAGAGGCCAAAGATCTATATACAGAACCACATAGAGACACATCTGGGTCCCTAGTATATGTTAGGTAATTAATGTCCCGTTGGGTCCCCGCGCTTGGAAAAGACCTCAATATAGCATCATACATAGCGTAGGCCCAGCATAGGCCCAGTATAGTCTTGTACCCCAGACTTTCCACTAGTTCGCTTACATGTAGGATGTAGGTAGCATACATGAGGCATGGGTAACATACATGCGGCTGAGTTGGTGCCGTAATTAATCGGGCTTCGTTTACAACCCCACAAAGAATTTGGAGTACACCGATTTAGCAAAGGGTAGAACATGTTACCTAATGGTGCCGTTGCAGGCTTAATATACTACCAGCCTCGGACAATGTGATCGAGATGCGTCTACCTACCCAGTATGTATCACCGCAAAGGATGACCTTCCTGGGGATGAGAAAATATAGCGATCGCTATCCTGTATTTCTTCATTAGGCACCGTAGACACTCCTTGTCTGAATAGACATGGAGACCTGATTATTGGATGCGTGAAGCTGGGCGAGTCACAATCTGTCCGCGGATGAGTCCCGCGGGTTACCTACTTGCATATAGCTAGAAATAATACCTCAAATCTGCAGCAAGAAAGGCCATCGAGATACGACTACCAAATCCGATGTGACCAATTAGCTTCCCAAGGTATTCTGGATGTGCAAGTATGCTATCCCGAAGATCGAGTATATACCCAGATAGCTTGTCGCGGTAACGGTTCGTAGCTGCTTAGGTACCTACCTACTTTAACAAAAACCTCGCATCGCACAAACCTCGGAAAAGAGACGGGGGTGCTAAAAGCAACCCTATAGGAGGACCCTTTAAATCTTGATGCGTTGACAAGTTCATAGAAAGGGTTACTTCAGTACCACCCACAACAGCGTCCCCTAAGTCGTAACACGCACTACCTTCAGGGACTTGGGGGGACACGACAGGGCTGAAGGG